CTTCACTTCCTTCAGGAAAGTATCATATTCTCCCTCCAAACTGGGCGCGTAGACCCGTACCAAGGTCAACACTTTAGCCTGTTACAGCTTCAGTCGACGGATTACCACTCTTCCGCTAAGAGGCTTGCAATCGATGATCTTATCTGCGACGGGAGGTTCTACCAGAACACCAACACCGGCCTGAGCGCGAGTCGTGACATCGATGCCTGAGTAGAAAAACTTCCATCCGCTGAGGTTTAGGAGTCCAGATATATGGAGCTTTGTTGACGAGAGTACTTGGTCCTTTATGGCCTGATCAACCAATTTTTTTTCCTTCCCTCTGAGTGAGGAGATGCTCCAATTTTCGACCTTAAGCTCCCACTGGTGGTATCGTTCTCGTGAAGCCTTTTCTAACGTGCTATAATGCCATCGCGCTGTCTGCCTCCTCCGTTCAGAAACGTAGCGACTCCCTTGCTGACTGGCATCTTCGTCGACATTCCGTCGGTCTTCGCCAGCTGTTGTTGTGCTGCTACGCCCCCGGCTGGCATAAAGCAATGAGCAGTTTCTGATCGCCGACTTTTCGCAGTGTTCATCAGTCCCCCGACAGCTTGCGCGGCCCTTGGTAACCCGGGCGACGACCGAGCCGGCATAATTTTCAAAGGCGTCAATACCACGAGTGGCAGGTGGCTAAATTTTACGGAGCCTTTGCCTCGGTGTCCAACCCTCCTCGTCGCTCAACCGGGCTTTGGACCGGTAATGGCAGAGTTCCTATAACTATATGCTAATAGCAAATTCTGCGTCAGATTAAATGGCGTTAAATCGAAGCCTTTCAGAACTGGCGCTGGACTTTGCCAAGGCTGTGTTCTGCCCCTCTCCTTTGTGTTGTACACGGATAGAAGAATCAGGCGTAGCCAACGCGAGTATTTCGATGTTGGAGGTGTGGAGACCAGTACGATGCTGCTAGCAGATGACCTTGTTTTATTGGCAGCTTCTGAAACTCATCTACAGCGCTCTCTGGAAAGGTTCGCAGCCGACTGCGAACGCATTTAAAACGAAATGCCTAGTGATTTCTCGTTCTCTTGCCCGTTGGTCGCTTCAGATTAACGGAGAAGTTCAAGTACCTCGGAATCGTATTTACTAGTGATGGAAAATTTGAGGAAGAGATTCACCGGCGGACTAGAATAGCCAGTGGTATT